TTGAAGAACAGTAAAATTTATAATGAATATGTTATATGGTGCATATATTTAGCAAAATGCCCCTCTCTACAGTTTATTTTCTAACTAATGAGTTTATGGTTACCGAATATGTTTTTCTGAGGTAAATGTGACGTTACGTGACATTGTTTACAAGATGTTATATTGAGGTCTTTGCGCGACTGAAACACTTATTGAGCGATTACACAAGACAGGATACGGATTGTAAAGTTGTACTCTTTCTTTTAACTTACCTTCGGATGTTTAGTCATGTTTATTTTGTGCTATAACTAGTATTAACCTTCGGATGTTTAGTCATGTTTATTTTGTGCTGAAACTGGTATTATTAATGTGGAGGAGATGATCAGTTCATGTGCTGCCGCGTCTATTGATCTGAGGTGCTCCAACGATCTGTCACTTCACATTAAACAGCGCCAAAATGGCATTTATTGTTTGAATACAATGGACAGAATTTGAAATCTGAGACTTTGTTTCATATTAAAAGTACCAAAGTGCTTATTGCGATATATAGGATGGGAAGTACCCTTCAACGTTCCGTTCATTAACTGAAAACAGGCTAGACTAATCGATTCTTGGGATTTAAGAATCGATATCGTTCCGTAAAAATGAGAATCGATTAATATCGAGATCGATATTTTTTACTCAGCCCTACATTATAACAAAGCATATAATGCAATGCTAATCGACATAGCCTTTATAACTGCTTATGAAATATGTTGCGTGCCTTATTCTGTGTAAAAGATGCCACATCATCTCACAGAAGCATTTATTTCAAACACTCGACTGACGTTATGAAGTGAGTAAAAACATGTTATTAATGTTTTCACATGCTTTCAGATGGAGCAGCATTTACTACACAGAGCTGTAGTTCACTGAGAAGCTACCCAAGCAGCTGTCATTATCTTACCCAAGCAACTGTATATTAATCACTGTCTTATCAGTGAACTACGGCTCTGTGTAGTAAATGCTGCTCCATCTGAAAGCATGTGATGGAGATTTACTACTGATTACAGAACTGCTTTACTGACAAGATGTGCATGACAATCACATTCAATTAATCGTGCAGCCCTAATGCATCCCTATTTAAGTGTCTTTGGGCTCATAAATCGATACACTTTATGCAGTTAATAAAGTAGGCAGATGCAGGTTGTAATATTTTGGTATGTGGCTTATTTCCAAGGTAACGTTTTTGGATATAAGTTTATTTCGTGCTTCGTTTTTATTTGCTGATTTTTATAGTAAGATCTGGCAACCCTAATGAGTCAAAACATACCTCGTTCACTGTGATTTCACAACTCTAATGCACATTTAAATACATCATTAACAACTAGTTGTTCAGTTTGGTTCCATACACACTATGTAGAATTTCTACAAATGCGGTTGCCTAAGTTAATTTGGTTGTACAATGCAGTTGTCACTCCGTCAATGACTGAACTGTATGCATACAGAACAAGATTAAACACTAAAAGATGAGTTGACAACTGAATTAAGCTGCAGCACATACAGGGCCATCGAAACAAGCTGCGACTGCAGAAAAATGCACACGTGTCGACGCTGAGCTGACATCTGATTGTGGCGTGTGACATTTTCACATTTCTTGATCGTCTGCTTCTCATTTCGGATGTTTAATGTGATCTCGATGACTTTTTATGGTTAAAATGTGGCGCAAGTGCAGCATTGTCAGTCAGTGAGATTGTGTCTGGCCCTTTTTGGTGGTTTATTGATGTCAGACTCCCAGGGAAAACTGGGACAGATTCATTTTTTTACTTTTTTATACAGAATGCAGTAATGACTTGACAATTAACATGATGAAGTGGAGCATTTTCTCTCTATTGTTTCTTCATGGAACGGTTTTAGGGCCATTTGGATCAGCACGTCATTATTATGGCTTGCAGACCAACAAAACGTCTGTAAATGCAGAAATGAAGCTGCGGTTTGGAGTTAGAAATAAACTCTTTACAGTGTGATAATAGGCCACAAAATCAACACTAGAATAGAGTTGGGCGTCTTTTGCTCTTAAATCCAGGCATCTTTCAGGGAGGGTTTGATAGTTGTGTAAATTATTGTGAAAAGCAATGCTGACGTTCAACAGCTAAAGATTTTACCCCGGAGATCAGTGCTGATTCATATTATTCCATAAAAGAAACTCATTAAGCATGTACAGACCAGTCGATTAAAGAGGTGGAATATTATCTTTAAAGGAATAGTTCAACCGGAAATTAACATTTGCTGAAAGTTTGCTCATCCTCAGGCCATCCAAGATGTAGATGAGTTTGTTTCTTCATCAGATTTGGAGAAATGTAGCATTGCATCACTTGCTCACCAATGGATGTGAATGGGTGCCGTCAGAATGAGAGTCCAAACAGCTGATAAAAACATCACAATAATCCACAAGTAATCCACAGCACTGGAGAAGAATCTGGAGAAGACAAAAGCTGAAACAAATCCATCATTAAGACGTTTTTAACTAAAATCTGAGTCCATAATCCATAATAACGCTTCCTCCAGTGAAAATGTGGTCTGGTCTGAATCAGCCAAAACAGCTCTTTACAAGCCAAAACAGTTCTAAACAAATATGTGTGTGGATTTTGATGTGAGAGACAACAGGAGATGGACTTTTTCACTGGAGGAACTGTTATTATGGATTATGGACTCAGATTTTAGTTCAAATTTAACGTCTTCATGATGGAGTTGTTTCTTACAAACATGCAGCTTTAAAGAAAAACAACAACAGAATTTCTGAAAAAAATAACATTTTATAGGACCCTATTATTGTTAAATTTGTATAAGTATTAAGTTGTTACATTTTTATAAATTCAGTTGATTATATGTAATAAAATTTTATTAAACTATTAAAATGGAATCCAGAAAAATGAAAATGGAAAACATGGAATTTGGGGGAAATGTCATTTTTGTTAAACCTTTAATACATCTTTGTTAAATTGTATAAATGTCATGATTCTAATTTGTTAGACATGCTTTTTGATTACTAAGTTATTATGGATTATGGACTCAGATTTTAGTTCAAATTTAACGTCTTCATGATGGAGTTGTTTCTTACAAACATGCAGCTTTAAAGAAAAACAACAACAGAATTTCTGAAAAAAAAAAACATTTTATAGGACCCTATTATTGTTAAATTTGTATAAGTATTAAGTTGTTAAATTTTTATAAATTCAGTTGATTATATGTAATAAAATTTTATTAAACTATTAAAATGGAATCCAGAAAAATGAAAATGGAAAACATGGAATTTGGGGGAAATGTCATTTTTGTTAAACCTTTAATACATCTTTGTTAAATTGTATAAATGTCATGATTCTAATTTGTTAGACATGCTTTTTGATTACTAAAATTGAATCCAAAAAAATGTAAACAGAAAAACGGACTTTAAGAGAAATTAAGAAAAAAAAAAATAATTTTAAAAGTCATTTTTGTTAAACCTTGAATAAATTGGTGTTTAACAGAAGACGTTTCATGTTAAGTATCAATTAGTTAAAATTGCTTTTTGAGTACTAAAATTAAATCCTGAAAAAAATTAATGGGGGGGGACGGAATCCAAAAAAATTAAAACAGAAAAAAATGGAATTGTGGGGAAAAAAAATTAAATGGGTTTTATAGGGCCATACAACTTATTCATTTTAATATTTAATTCATATGCAGACACAATGTATATTTGTCAAAATAACTCATTTTACGCATTTCAGCTGTTTTTAAGATCAAACACACAGCTTTTGGCTTCTCCAGATGTGAACTGATGGACTGGAGTGCTGTGGATTACTTGTGGATTATTGTGATGTTTTTATCAGACTCTCATTCTGACGGCACCCATTCACATCCATTGGTGAGCAAGTGATGCAATGCTACATTTCTCCAAATCTGATGAAGAAACAAACTTGTCTATATGTTGGATGACCTGAGGGTGAGGACACTGTCAGCAAACGAACAAATCTCTGCCGATCTTACAACCCTCTTAATCGTAGCTAATTGTGTTTAGAAAACATCCAACAAACCAAATCAACTGAACTCCTCCTAAACGGTCTCACATGTTCTCGTCTCCTGACAGACAGCAGGGGGTTCGAATGAAACAGCATCACGTCCAAACCTTTCTCCCTCGTCTCTGTTTGTTACGCAACAGCGAGAGCAGCGACTGGATTGTTTATATTTCAGGAATCATCTGTCAGAACATGTTCCACGCTTCCATCTAAATGCCTTTGTGTGCTTTGGAGAAAATCTGAGCCGGTGAGCGCTGTCAGCTTCGACTCGGCTCGGCTCTGTCTGCGTGTGTTTCAAATGAACGATGGCTTTTATCAAGATAACTATCGGCTTCAGGAACACAATGGAAATGCGTCACGGCGGGTTGAGACGTCGGACACTGGATAGATGAGAATGGGTTTCACTAGCGGTCAGGAGTTTGGACACATGCACTTACTCTGAGCGTTTCCCACTCTGAAATCACACTAATGGAGTTCTGTCATGAGCATGGAGTTAATTGTAACATGGCATTTGGCTGTATAAATCAAAAGTAGGGCTGTAACTTAATCAAACTGTGATTTGGAGTAGTGTCTGTAACCATTTCACCATTTCATTTGATAAAACCATCATCAGATACAGAAATGTAAAGGTCTTCACTGCAATCCGCCAAAATAGTTCAATATGACTTCAAGAAATTGCGACAGAACTAAATTACTATTTTACAGTAGAATGTACTTTACAAAATAAAAAGAATAATACATTATTACAACTTTTATTTGAATACTTTTATTTTTCTTTTATTTCTGCTTGATATCTTCATTTTTAATGTATTGTTTATTTACTGTTATGATTAATTTATTAATCATTTATTTGTTCATTTGGTTCCCAAATTTGTACAGTTAACAGTTTTATTAATTTACTTTATATACACACACACACACACACACACACTCACTCTCACACACACTCTCTCTCACACACACACTCACTCACTCACTCTCACACACTCTCTCTCTCACACACACACTCACACACTCACACACACACACACACACACACACACTCACTCTCACACACACTCTCTCTCACACACACACTCACTCACTCACTCTCACACACTCTCTCTCTCACACACACACTCACACACTCACACACACACACACACACACACACACTCACTCTCACACACACTCTCTCTCACACACACACTCACTCACTCACTCTCACACACTCTCTCTCTCACACACACACTCACACACTCACACACACACACACACACACACACACTCACACTCACATACACACACACACACACACAGGTTTGTTTTTGTGAAAAGTGGGGACATTCCATAGGCGTAATGGTTTTTCTACTGTACAGACCGTATATTCTATTGCCCTACACCAACCCTACCCCTAAACCTACCCCTCACAGGAAACATGGAATTTGGGAAATAATAAAACTGAATTTTGTAGGACTCTAAAGATAAAGTTTTTATTGTATAGGTTTTATGATTTCAATTGGTTATACATGCTTTTTGAGTAATAAAATTAAATCTGAGCATATCGTGAGTGTGTGTGTGTGTGTGTGAATGAGTGAGAGAGCAATACAGAAACAGAGAGACTTTCTTAATGTGCATTCCTGCATCCAGCCAGATTCAGTCAGATACGTCACGTAATGTAAGTAAAACGTGTTGCGAATGCTGTTTGAAGGCGTTTTTCGTGTGTGTCACCACGAGCTTATCTTCACACACCCTCCTGTCGAGTGAGGACACAGACATGTGAATGAACAGTGTTTTTTTTCTCTGGAAGGCTGATTTCATGTGTGTTGTGTTTTCAGGTTAAAGATCTACGTCCACAGTCCTCCAGAGGACATCAGAGTCTTTCTGAAGTCAGAGCAAACACAGCCCCACGCTCTCAGGTAATAATATATACTGCGAAATAAACACACAACAAACACAACAGCAGTGAGAAAGCAGCAGTTCAGAAAGCATCTGATCTAGAGATGTGGATGTTTGCAGCAGTAAGTTACATCACGTCACGTTTATGCATATAGCGCTTTATACAGTAGATGCTTTAAAGCAAGCAGCTGCACAGTATTGAAGATGAAAAACCAGTGTCGCTTTCCGTTAGAATTACAGCTTGATTTTCTGTTCCTGCTCCATATGAATATGAATCGCTCAATATTTTAACAATTTACTAAATCTGAATAATCACCTAAAGCCTACTGATTAATCTATGAAATAATCAATTATTAGCCGATTAATCATTCTAATAATAGTTAGATTAATCGATTATCAAAATAATTGTTTGTTGCAGCCCAAATACTGTATAACTTTTCTGTCTGTCTCTACTTTTAGATTGATTGATTTTTTAAAAATTAATATTCTTTATTTATCATGTACTTTTTTTATTATTATTTATTAACGAATGTTTTTTATTATATATTATAATTATTTAATGATTTATTTAATTATTTATTTAATTATTTATTATTTGTTCGTTTGGTTCCCTATTTATACATTAAATAGATGTATTTATTTATTTATTTATTCGTTCATTTTAATTATGCAATTTTTCATGTCTTTTTTTTATTAATTAATTTGTTAGATAATAATAATTTATTATTTATTAGCTTGGTTAATTTATTAATTGTATTCGTATATTAATATGTTTATTCATTTATTATATTAATATGTTTATTTATTTTAATGTACTTTGTTTGTTAATCAATTTATCAGTTTAATTAATAGTAATTTATCATTTATAATTTTTTTCCCAAATTCATATATGTATTTATTAATTGAATTTTTGGATTTATTTTATATACAGTATTATTTATATAATTTATTTTATTTTATTAATAAATATTTATGTATTTTTGTTTATTAATTAATTTATAAATTGAGTTAATAATAATTTATTATTTGTTAATTTGGTTCCCAACTTGTCAAAATATCTAAACAATTTTTACAAATACTTGACTCTAACCCAAAAAAAGACCTAACCCGAAATCATGAAAATTAATTGACTAAAAGCTGTAATAAAAGGATTTAAATCATACAATTGGCGTCATTTGCTGTTTTGGGCAAAAAATCATTCTTTTAATGCATTCCATCAATTATATTAAACCAAATACTGTCAAAAATATGATGATATAATTGTATCTCTTCATATCTCAAAATGGACCGAGCTGGCCCAGCTCCTGAATATTAATTGTATTCGTATATTAATATGTTTATTCATTTATTATATTAATATGTTTATTTATTTTAATGTACTTTGTTTGTTAATCAATTTATCAGTTTAATTAATAGTAATTTATCATTTATAATTTTTTTCCCAAATTCATATATGTATTTATTAATTGAATTTTTGGATTTATTTTATATACAGTATTATTTATATAATTTATTTTATTTTATTAATAAATATTTATGTATTTTTGTTTATTAATTAATTTATAAATTTAGTTAATAATAATTTATTATTTGTTAATTTGGTTCCCAACTTGTCAAAATATCTAAACAATTTTTACAAATACTTGACTCTAACCCAAAAAAAGACCTAACCCGAAATCATGAAAATTAATTGACTAAAAGCTGTAATAAAAGGATTTAAATCATACAATTGGCGTCATTTGCTGTTTTGGGCAAAAAATCATTCTTTTAATGCATTCCATCAATTATATTAAACCAAATACTGTCAAAAATATGATGATATAATTGTATCTCTTCATATCTCAAAATGGAACGAGCTGGCCCAGCTCCTGAAGTAAAAAAACGTGTTTAGTGTAATAGTTGGGTCTAATCTTAGCATGACGTGTTTCCGGCTTCCTGTCCTTGTAAATGCCACCGGAGTGTGTTTTATTGTGTCTCTGGTAAGAACTGAAACATACCCAGAGATAGCGGAGGCTGTCCATTGGCTGAGGCTGTCCTGATTTACTCCTGCGAGAGTGAAATCGACACAATGCTTTATGGGAATGACATCACTGCTCATAAATTCCCCCGCAGTTACGCAGTTTGAGCGCTTTGGGACTCGTCAGCGATGCTTTTCTCTGGTTCTGTGTGCTTTGGTGTCCCTCGCTGGGGTCCGAGGGCCGAGTGGGAGCCGTAAAGCCCGCGCACCTGCTTTCTGAGCCGCACTGCTCCTGGATCAGCCATCGTGAAGGTCTTTCCTACAGAATTCGGTTTTTGCTCCCATTATGTGACATTGCTATTTTGCAACATTTAAAATGAAATCAGTCGCGTTTCTTTTTTAGGGTTTTCTTACAGGATACACATATACCTTTTTCATATACTTTTTTTGTTGCAAAATAAAACTCTGTATAATTACTATATAAATGAGCCCTTTTTTGTTGTGTTGAAACTATACTGTATATATATATGTATATATATATATATGTGTTATGTTTCTCAATCATCTCAAGCATCTCGTCAGTAAAGCCGCTCCTGTAATCAGTAGTAAATCTTGTTCACTGACAAGCTACGCAATATCACGTTCATAATCGCAGATGATTCGCCTTAGATTTGAAATGCAACAGGAGATATTTGTAATACTCTTATACTGTGGTCAATTTTTGCAATAAATGCATGTGCCTGTACTTACATTTGCTTGTGTTTTATATCGTTGAGAAGTGGGTAGGTTTAGGGTAAGGAGTGGTGTTAGGTGTTCCAAAATTATTTTTAGATTTACAAATGCGAAGATGTAAACTCTGAAGGGGTACCCTGCACCGAGACGATCCCTATTAAAATACATTACACTGAAATACAATACATTTTATTCCACCATAAAACAAAATATATATAAATTTGGGAAATATATATATATATATATATATATATATATATATATA